ACCCCCTGCAGGGTGGGGCTGGGCCCAGGCCTTGGGCTGCCCTGCTGGTGCCTCCCCAGCAGCAGGTGCCAGGCCCCGGTCACGGCAGTGCCCGCCTCGCTCTGCTTTCCGCCCTGCCAGGTCCGGCCGCTGGCCGCCCGGCTGCCATCGCACCAGGCAGGTGGGTCGGGGCGGCTGTGCAGCGAGTGTTGGTCCTTGGCCCCGCCGGTGCCCCTCACTTCCAACCTGCAGCCCCCTGCTCCCATCTCCAGCCCTGCCGGTGCTGCTGCCGGTCCTGAACCACAGCTCCAGTTCCTTGCTCCCCCGAAGCCGTCCTGGTGCTCCTCACTCTCAACCCACAACCCAGGGCTCCCCCCAGTCCCCTCCATCCTGTCCCCGTCTCTGCTATCTTGGGGACCCCCTCCCAGTCTGCCCTTGCCAGCTGAGCTGTCCCCTCCAGCCCTGGAGATAGGAGTGAGGAGCACCGGCAGGGCTGAAGGGTTGGAAATGAGACTGCTCCCTGTAATCCCCACAGGGGGCAAAACAGCGGGGTCCCTGCCCCCAACCAGAGGGTTGGGGGGGTTGCCAGTTTGTCCTACTCCCCAGTGCCCCTGGTCCAGTGTGCAGAGGCCGGGGCTGGGGCTGGGATGGGACTGCCCCCCCTCCCCAGCATCACAGCCACAGGCACCTGAACTGCCCCCGGCTCACGGGGCTCCTGCTCGTCCCTCCAGGCTCCCACGTGGCCCCACGGGCCCCGTGCTGGGAGGCTGGGGCCCAGGATGTGGGGCTGGGCCTGGGGGACGCAGGAGCCGACGTGCAGGGCATGGAGGTCGAGGCCACGGAGCCGGAGCCCCAGGCCACGAGCTCGGGGGAGCCGGAGCCGGTGCCGGACGCGGAGCCGCTGGGGCTGGGCCCGGAGGTGGAGTTCCAGGCGCCGGACGCCGAGGCGTACATGCGCTTCATGATGAGCCACTGCTGCTACGACGCCATGCCCACCAGCTCCAAGCTCGTCATCTTCGAGACTTCGCTTGAGGTGCGGCCCGTGGCCCGCGGCTCTAGGGCCGGGCCTGGCGCTGGGGGGGGTCTGGGCTGTCAAGGGGCAGGGGCTGGGAGTCCACGGACTCGGGTGGGGGCCGTGGCCTCAGGGGCAGCCTTGGTCTCCGAGAAGGGCTGTGGCTTCGGGGGGGCGCATAGTCTCTAGGGAAGGGGCTGTGCCCCCAGGGGGTTGGCCGTTGTCTCGGGGGCCAGCTCTGGTCTTGGAGAGTGACCTGGGTCTTTGGCAGTGACCGTGGCCCCGGAGGGATCGGCTGTGGCCTGGTGCCTGCCCCCACCCCGATGCCTTCCCCCTTCCCAGATCAAGAAGGCCTTCCTGGCCATGGTGGCGAACGGCGTGCG